AAAGAATGGCACCGACAGCGACATCGGAAGCATCGGTCCATATGAAGTATGGGCGTGAAGGGTCGGCGACGGTGAGGACCGGTGCAGAGGTGAGTACTGATTTGATTGAGTTGAAAGCGGTCTGCTGCGGTAGTCCCCATTGAAAGGCAGCTCCTTGACGGAAGAGATCGGTCAAAGGGGCGCAGATGTGAGAGAAGTTGAAAATGAATTTCCGGTAATACTTGGCGAGGCCGATGAAACTTTGCAGCTCCGCTACCGTGCGTGGGGCTGGCCAATAAGCAAGGCACTAGACCTTTGCGGGGTCCATAGCGATGCCTTTGGAGCTGATGACATGGCCGAGAAAGCCGATGCTTGAACGGGCGAAGGTGCACTTGGAGAGCTTGGCGTAGAGGTGGTGTTGGCGAAGCGTGTCGAGGACGATGCGTAGGTGCTGAGCGTGTTCCTCGAGTGACTTGCTGAAAATGAGGATGTCATCGAGGAACACGATGACAAAGCGGTCAAGGAAGGGCCGAAAAATGTCGTTCATGAGTCCCATGAACGTGGCTGGTGCGTTGGTGAGGCCGAACGGAAGTACGCGGAACTCGAAGTGGCCGTAGCGGGTTCGAAACGCCGTCTTGTTGATGTCGTCTTCGGCGAGCCGGATCTGGTGGTAACCGGAGCGTAGGTCGAGCTTGCTGAAAACTGTTGCTTCCCCAAGCATGTCGAACAACTCCTCGACACGGGGCAGCGGGTACTTATTCTTGATTGTGATGGCGTTGAGGGCGCGGTAGTCGATGCAAAGGCGCAGGTCACCTTCCTTCTTGCGGGTGAAAAGCATGGGGGCAGTGTATGGTGAGGTGCTTGGGCGGATGAAACCCTTCTCGAGAAGGTCATCGAGTTGACGTCGGAGCTCCAAAAGTTCAGCGGTGCTCATGCGATAGGTTGGGCGCACGGGCGGTGTAGAACCTGGAATGAGGCGGATGCTATGGTCAATAGCACGCTCGGGTGGAAGTTCGGCGGGAAGATCTTCAGGGAAGACGTCGGTGTAGCCTTGGAGTAACTTCTGTATAGGTGATGGGAGAGAGTTGGGTGATGGTTCAGATTCGGGAGCGGTGAAGATGACTAGGAGATGATGAGGAGGAGGTGGTGATGGAGGGGTGGGGGCTGATGGATTGATAACTTCAGAGGCGGGGCGGATGATGGGACGTCGTGGCTGCTGGGTTGGGTGGGGTGGAGAAGGAGGAGGTGTGTTGATCACTTCGGGGGAGCCGGGTGGTGTTGGCTGCTGCACGGGAGCTATGCGAGGAGGAGGGAGAGGGGGGATATGGGAAGATGGAGATGGGGCAGGTTGGGGTGGATGGGTTGATGAAGCGGAACTGGTTGGGGATGACCATGGTCGGCGAAAGGAGTGGGATGGGAGGTCGTAGTTGCCGACGGTGACAGTTCCGTTGCGCCAATAAATCCGCGGTCCAAACTGGTGCAACCATGGTCGACCGATAACGCCTTCGTACCCGCCGAGGTGCAGTTGCTCGAACGTGACCGTCGCCTCCAAGCTTCCAAACATGCAATGCACAGGGAGGAGAGTAGGTCCGCAGCACCGCCGAGTACCATCTGCCATGATCACGTCCTGCGGGTTGCTGTTGGGATCTTCGGGGAGAGAAAGTTCAGCAGCAATTGAGGGAGAGAGGAAATTTGCTGAAGCGCCGGTATCGAGCAAAAAGTCAACGTAGCGATTCTTTATTTTTGCGTATAGAATGATGGCGGGGAATGGAGCGTTGGATGTGGTGTAGAGTTCAGAGGTGCCGATGAATAATGGAGTCGGGAGAAGCGGGGCATGCGATGTGCCAGAGGTCTGCCCCACTGCTACTGGCGCTGTCCGTTTCCCGGAGACCTTTCGAAGTTGCGGCGGTTCGGGCAATGTCGCTTGATGTGGCCGACTTTCCCGCACGAGTAGCACGTAAGCGTGGACTGGTTGCGTGCACGCTGTTCCACCACACCGAGCTCCATGGGAGAAGGACCGTTGGTGCGGTAGGTAGGTCCAGCAGTGGTGTGCTGCCCGGTTCGTCCTTGGAATCGCTGGTATGCTGCAAAGTTGATGGTGTCAAAACGCTCGGTGACACGAATCATCTCATCCAACGTCGTAGCGCCGCGGAGTTCGACCTCGGTGTGGATTTTCGGCTTCAGCCCACGCTTGAATTTGTCCATCTGTTCAGCAGCAGGGATGTCTGGGATCTCAAGCACGAGCTCGCGGAAGCGGTTGATGTATTCAGCGACCGAGCGATGTTGGCGTAATTCAGCGAGGTTGTCACGTGCGCGCTCGATGGAGTTGACCGGCTCGAAGTTCATTAATAGCGATGCAGAAAACTCTTCCCAAGTTGAAATCGTAGCATGGCAACTCTGCCACCAAGTAGCAGCTGCACCGCTCAGCATCATGCCGGCGTGCCGAGCCCACTCCGCCCGGTTGACATGACAAAGGGAGAGGTATTCCTCCACTTGGAAAAGCCACCGTCGCACCGGTAAGTGACGTTTTCCAGGGATGAACGGCTCAGGTTCGGGTGCTTTGGGTCGTGCAGAAACCACAGCAGGTGCTGGCGTCGGCACCTGTGTGCCCAGGAGTCCACGTTCCTGGGAGTTCGCCGAGGATCCGGTCACGCACCTCGCGTTCAATTTCTCAGCGCATATTCGCCACAAATTCGTTCCAGAGTTCCGGCGTCATATCAGACGGTCCGGCCATAGGGTCTAGAATATGGCGGGAGCGTGCGAAATAACTAACCAGGCTCTGATTACCAGTGAAACGTTGCTGGCAGGGAAGTAGCAGCCTTAGTAGGCTAGGAAAACGAGGATAGAGTGCTCTCTGGAGTTCTCTGGAAATTGCACTATGACTTCACAAATTTCACAGTACAATTTTATAGAGCACATTCAAATATCGAGTCGCACTCCCAAGTCGCGACTCTCTCTGAATTTCTCAATGGTAACCCAACCCCTTTGAAATGAACCTGCCGTGAAATTCAGAGAATTATTGCGGTACGGGATTGGACGGCGAGCTTGGTTATGGGGCTGTAATTTCGTCGGTGTTGTTGGCGAAGTCGGCGAGCGGTCGGAACTTCGGTGTTCTGCGTTTCGTAATTTTCGCGCGAGGGTTTGTGTTGGGCTGCGCGTCAGGACCTGGTCGCCCAGCTGCAGGTTGAGGCGTTTGACCAATACGAACAGTTGGTGAGGTGGCGCTTGACTTCCGCCCACCTGCACTGTACTTGGCAGCATTCGGCTGCCACACTGTTACAATTTACTTTTTTGACTTCAACTCTGCTCAATGCGTTCACACAACCCGCTTCTGTTCCAGGTCGACGAGAGCCCCAGTAGCACACTGAAACGAAGTCAGGCTGAAGCGTTACTATTCAGCCAGCTCACCAGCCGCAGCGAAATATTATTTCCCGGCCTACGAAATTGGGATGTACAGGAAAATCAGCGCGCGTCCGTGAACTTCGAATCGGATTCAAACGGAAATAGCGACTCGTTGGATGAGTCGTTGGACTTACCTGCGGAGGAGCCGCAAATCAGGAGATACTTCGAAGCGGGCGGTTTCGGTTCCTGCGGCATTCCCGACGTTTCCAATGACGAGGAGTGCGTTGCGGATCTCGCGGCATTCCCTGAGCTGCATGCGCGCATCGGGACGCGCACGGTGCGCCGGTTGGCGTGCCTGGCGCACAGGTACCTGCGCCCGAGGATGGGGATTCCCGGGATGAAGCGGGGAATGGGTGCGCTGTTGACGGTGGTTAGCTAACCACGACCTAGCACAACCTGGAGTGACCTACATCGACCTAAGAAAAACCTACTTTGACGAGCTGAGACTATGGGGAAGCGAGGACCTAAGAAGAAGAGAGACTACCTATGTTGGGACGGTGGAAGGAGAAACACGGTAGCAGCTGTCAAACTCTTATGCTATAGTCTATGTAGGCTGTAGTGGGGTAGACAATATGGGGTACAACACTTCTAGGTTTTCCTACTTGTACCCACCTGCTTGCTAGTTCATTCATTCCTCATTCTTGACATGGTATAGAGCAGGTTCCCTCGTGGGAATGCTTCTCAGGGCCCACCACTGAACTCGATCTTTTTTTTCCTGCCCGAGGCGCGCCCCGTCGGCCGCCCTCACGTCGCGCCCTCCTAGAGGCCCCTCGCGCCACCCTTACCGGCCCCGTCGCCACCCCTTACGGCCCCGTCGCCGTCCTTTGCGGCCCCGTCGCCGCCCCTCTAGGCCCCGTCGCCGCCCCTCTAGGCCCGTCGCGGCCCCTTCGCGGCCCCGTCGCCGCCCCTCTAGGCCCATCGCGGCCCCTTCGCGGCCCTGTCGCCGCCCCTCTAGGCCCCGTCGCCGCCCCTCTAGGCCCCTCGCGGCCCCTTGGCGGCCCCGTCGCCACCCCTCTAGGCCCCTTGCGGCCCCTTCACGGCCCCGTCGCCGCCCCTCTAGGCCCCGTCGCCGCCCCTCTAGGCCCCTCGCGGCCCCTTGGCGGCCCCGTCGCCGCCCCTCTAGGCCCCTTGCGGCCCCTTCACGGCCCCGTCGCCGCCCTTCGCGGCCCCGTCGCCGCCCCTAGCGGCCCCGTCGCCGCTCTTCGCGGCCCCATAGCCGCCTCTAGCGGCCCCGTCGCCGCCCTTCGAAGCCCCGTCGTCGCCTCTACCGGCCCCGTCGCCGCTGAGCCGCCCAGCAGCCGAGCAGCCGAGCCACCCAGCAGCCGAGCAGCCGAGCCGCCGAGCCGCCCATCCGCCGAGCCACCGAGCCGCCCAGCCGCCGAGCCGCCCAACAGCCGAACCGCAGAGCCGCCCAGCAGCCAAGCCGCCGAGCCGCCGAGCCGCCCAGCAGCCGAGCCGCCGAGCCGCCGAGCAGCCGAGCCGCCGAGCCGCCCTGCCGTCGAGCTGCTACTGTCACTGCCGAGCCGCTGCCACCGCGGCTACAGCCCTGTTCCTATCGGCGCGCCCCGGCCCTACTCACTCGGACTGGTGAGATCACTCCCTGCTAGACCACTGCTGTCATGGCTACCCCCAGTGTCCTTACCTTTGATGCTGAGGGTCGTGCTCTTGACTTTGAGGTCTGGGTTGATGACCTCCAGCTGTTCCTACAGTGCGATAGGGCAGACGGACTCTCCCTGTTCGATCTCACCTCTGGTGCCTCTCCTGCCCCGCCTACTGACGCTGACAGCACTGTCCGCTCACAGTGGGCCACACGCGATGCTGCTGCACGTCTTGCTGTGCGTCGCCACTTACCGACCACTGAGCGTGCGCACTTTAGTCAGTACAAGAGTGCTAAGACCTTGTACGATGCTATAGTTGCACGCTACTCTTCCCCTGCCACTGCTGCTCTTAGCCGCCTCATGCTGCCGTACCTGTTCCCTGACCTTGCTGCCTTTCCCACAGTCGCTGACCTCATTACGCACCTTCGCACTAGTGACACTCGCTACCGCGCTGCGCTTCCTGCTGAGTTCTGTGCCAAGAACCCCCCCCCCATGTACATCACCCTCTACTACATAGTCACCCGGCTCCCTGACTGCCTTCGCTTAGTCAGGGACCACTTCCTCTCAGTTTGCCCCACCACACTCACCGTTGACCTCCTCGAGGAGCGCCTCCTAGCAGCAGAGAAGAGCATAGTCGCTGTAGGAGCCTCTCGTGGTGACCCTCGCACCCCCGTCTTTGAGGGGTGTTCCCCCTCCCCCCTCTTGCCCTCCGTTGCTTCTGCTGCTGCGGCCGACCTCGTTGGTTTCGAGTCGGTCGGCGCTGCGTCTGCCCCTAGCGGGAGACGCCGCACCGGCAAGGGCAAAGGGGGCAAGGGCACTGGAGGGGCTGGCGGGGGCGGTGGAGGTGGTGGTGGAGGCAGTGGAGGGGGTGGGGGTGGTGGTGGGAGTGGTGGCGGGGGTGGAGGTGTCGGTGGCAGCAGTGGAGGCGGAGGAGGCGGCGGCGGTGGCGGAGGGAGCGGAGGCGGCGGAGGTGGCGGAGGCGGCGGCGGCAGCGGTGGAGCTGGTCGCGGCTCTGCGCAGAGGAGTGGGTCCGGTGGTGGTCCGCCCCAGCAGCAGCAGCGCAGTCGTGAGACCCCGTCCCCCCAGCAGCTTCGTGAGTGGTACGCTGGGCGTCAGCGAGGTGGGGGTACTGGTCCCTGCACCTACGTCCTCCGTACCGGCGACCGCGCTGGTGAGCAGTGCGGGGGCCCGCACTCCACCCAGCGCTGCTTCGGCCGCCTGACGGACGCGTGGCGTCACCAGTTCCCTGACGCCACTGAGATCCCTCGCTGGGGAGAGCTGTCTAGGGCGGGGGTTGCTATCTTTGATCTTGATTATGATGCAATTCTTGCTGCCATGTATGCTGTATCTAATAGTGATGAGGGTGACTGTTACCTGTGTGTTCTGCCTGACCCGGGCATTGAGGCTGCTGCTCTAGGTGCTGGTGAGGCTGCTGCTCTAGGTGCTAGTGCGTCTGCTGCCCCAGGTGCTGGTGAGTCTGCCCTCTCAGGTACCACGTCGGCTCAGGCCTTACACACCTTCACCCTTGACTCGGGTGCTTCCCGCTCCTTCTTTCGAGACCGCACCACGCTTACGCCGCTTAGTCGGCCGGTTGCAGTCTCCCTGGCGGACCCCTCTGGGGGTCCTGTCCTTGCTAGCTTCTCCACTGTCTTACCGTGTCCGGCAGCCCCCTCTGGCACCCTGTCAGGTCTCTACCTCCACTCGTTCTCTACGAACTTGGTGAGTGGAGCTGATCTACAGGATAGGGGGGTTGACCAGTTCACTCCTGCGAGTCAGCGGGTGACCCACTGCACGTGTGCTCGGACGGGCCGACACTTGGCCACGTTTACCCGTCGGCCGGGGTCGAGCCTGTACACACTGACTACTGAGTCTCCTCCGGTTGCTGAGTCTGGTCAGGTAGCTGCGTCGAGTCAGGTGTTTGCTGTAGCGTCTAGGTCTAGTCCTGAGTCTGCTCCCTGCTCGTGTCGTCTCCTGTCCCACCAGACTCTCCTTTGGCACCACCGCCTTGGTCACCCCTCCCTGCCTCATCTCCGAGGCATGGCCTCCCGTGTCCTTGTCTCTGGTCTTCCCCGGTCCCTCCCTCCCCTACCTCCGGGGCCTGCCCCTACCTGCGTTCCCTGCGTCGAGGGGCGGCAGCGCGCCGCCCCTCACTCCTCCGAGTTTCCTCCGACAGAGGCTCCGCTGCAGACTCTTCACATGGACGTGTGGGGCCCCGCCCGCGTCCGTGGCCAGGGTCACGAGCGTTACTTCCTGTTGGTGGTTGACGACTACTCGCGTTACACCACGGTGTTCCCCTTGCGCAGCAAGGGTGACGTCACTGAGGTGTTGATCGACAGGATCCGCGCAGCTCGTCTCCAGCTCAGAGAGAGTTTTGGCTCGGACTTTCCTGTTCTGCGTCTGCACTCTGACAGAGGCGGGGAGTTTTCCTCTGCCCATCTGGGAGCCTTCTGTCGTGCACAGGGCATCCGCCAGACCTTCACCCTTCCGGCCTCTCCACAGCAAAATGGAATTGCTGAGCGCCGCATTGGCATGGTCATGGACGTCGCTCGTACGTCCATGATCCATGCGGCTGCCCCCCATTTTCTGTGGCCGTTTGCGGTTCAGTACGCAGCGCATCAGCTCAACCTTCAGCCCCGGGTCTCCTTGCCAGAGACCTCCCCCACCTTGCGGTGGACGGGGAAGGTTGGCGATGCGTCTGCGTTTCGGGTCTGGGGATCTCGGGCGTTTGTCCGCGACTTGTCTGCGGACAAGCTGTCCCCCCGTGCTGTTCCCTGCGTCTTCCTTGGCTTCCCCTCTGACGCGCTTGGTTGGCAGTTTTACCACCCCACCTCGCGCCGTGTTCTGTCCTCCCAGGACGTCACCTTTGACGAGTCGGTGCCTTACTACCGTCTCTTCCCCTACCGCACTGCGCCCCTCCCCCCGCCGCCGCTCTTCCTTGCGCCAGGTCCTCCCCCGGTAGACCCTCTCCCCCCTCAGGGTCCTGCCCCGTCAGGTGTGTCCCAGGTAGACGCAGTCCAGCCTGTCGAGGTAGCTGTTGACTCTGGTGCTGCTAGGGGTGCTGAGCCTGGGGGTGCTGAGTCTGGGGGTGCTGAGCCTGGGGGTGCGGAGCCTGGGGGTGCTGAGCCTGGGGGTGCGGAGCCTGGAGGTACGGAGCCTGGGGGTGCTGAGCCTGGGGGTGCGGAGCCTGGGGGTGCTGGGTCTGCTCGTGTGGCCTCTGGCGGTGCTGGGTTTGGGGGCCCTTCGGGTGCTTCGTCGAGGCGGGAGCTACCCTCTCCGCAGGAGCTGCGCGAGTGGTTTGCCCGGCGCTGGAGCCGTGCTGCTGGAGCTGGAGGTGCTACTGTTGCAGCTGGTCCTGGAGGTGCTCGTACTGGCGGTACTGGAGCTGTTGGGACTGGGGGTGCTGCTGGGGCTGCTGGAGTTGGTCCTGCTGGAGGTACTGCTGGAGCTGCTGGCGGTACTGGGGCTGGCGGTCCTGCTGGAGTTGGTGCTGCTGGAGCTGCTGGAGCTGGAGCTGCTGGGGGTGTTGGCGCTGGTGGTTCTGCTGGCGCTGGTGCTTCTGAGGGTGCTGGAGTTGGCGCTGTTGGAGCTGGAGGTGCTGCTGGCGCTGGTGCTGCCGCTGGAGGTACTGGTGCTGTCCCTGCTGGTTCTGCAGGCGCTGCGCGGCCGCGGCCGTACTTCGTTCCGCTCCTTGAGCAGGTTCTTGGTCTCCCGCCCTCTACTGGTCCTGCTCCTCCCTTAGAGTGTCCACAGCCTGTCCAGTCGCGGTCACAGCTACAGCCCGCCTCCCCCCTGCCAGCTCCTTCTCCCTACACTGGTCCTACTGGAGGTCTTGCTGAGCGTCGTGAGCCTGCGTCTCGTCCTGCGTCGCCTGTTCGTGCTGCTCGCACTAGTGGTCGTGCTCCGCGTCCGCGTCCTACTGCAGTCCCAGGCACACACCAGATGGCACTGCGTCCTTCCACTGCTCCTCTGCGTGTCCCGTTGCCGTCTCCTCCAGAGTCCTCTCTTCCTGTTCTTGCTGACCTGGAGTCTGACTCTCTTCGTGCTGCCAGTCCTACTGTCATGCGTCTCCTGGCTACAGTTGTCACTGACCCTTCCTTTTTGAGTCCACTGCTGCGTCAACCTTGGTTGCTGAGCTTGTCGACTTTGCTGCTCGCTGTCGTCTAGACTACACCGCTAGTCTCATTGCTGAGTCTGAGTCTGTCTGTCCTCCGTCCGTCGGGGGTGAGTGTGCTCTTAGCACGGACGTCCTTGAGGACAGGCAGGAGCAGTTCCAGTGTTTTGCTGCTGCTTTGCCTCATCTCGTGTCCACGCTGATTGCCCCTGAGGGAGACCCGGATGCACCAGACATCCCGACTCCTCGATCGTACGCTGAGGCGATCGAGGGTCCCTACTCCTCACAGTGGCAGTCAGTCATGGACGCAGAGATGGCTTCCTGGAAGTCCACAGGCACCTACGTCGACGAGGTTCCCCCACCTGGGGCGAACATCGTCAGTGGCATGTGGATTTTCAGGGTGAAGCGGCCGCCGGGTTCTCCGCCTGTCTTCAAGGCGCGTTACGTGGCTCGAGGCTTCAGTCAGCGGCAGGGAGTTGACTACTTTCAGACCTTCTCTCCCACCCCAAAGATGATCACTCTTCGGGTGCTGCTGCACATAGCCGCTCAGCGCGACTACGAGCTTCACTCTCTTGACTTCAGCGCAACTTTCCTGCAGGGCAGCCTGCACGAGGAGATCTGGCTGCGCCGCCCACCTGGTTTCACTGGGTCGTTTCCTCCTGGTACCCAGTGGAGCCTCCGGCGGCCAGTCTACGGTCTCCGCCAGGCGCCCCGTGAGTGGCACGACACACTGAGGACTACACTTGCGGCTCTTGGGTTTGCTCCTTCTACTGCCGACCCGTCGCTGTTTCTGCGCACTGACACCTCTTTGCCACCGTTCTACATCCTCGTGTACGTCGACGACTTGGTCTTTGCCACTGCTGACACTACTGGACTCGCCCACGTGAAGTCCGAGCTGCAGAAGAGACACACGTGCACAGACCTGGGTGAACTGCGCAGCTACCTTGGCTTGCAGATCACCCGGGACAGAGCACAGCGCACCATTACCCTGACTCAGTCACACATGGTGCAGCAGGTCCTTCAGCGCTTCGACTTCACGTACTCCTCGCCTCAGGCCACTCCTCTGCCTACTCGCCACTCGCTCTCAGCTCTGCCTTCGGATGAGTCCGTAGAGCCGAGTGGCCCGTACCCAGAGCTTGTTGGCTGCCTCATGTACCTGATGACCTGCACACGACCTGACCTTGCATACCCTCTTAGCATCTTGGCACGCTATGTTGGTCCTGGGAGACACCGACCAGAGCACATGGCTGCAGCGAAGAGGGTGTTGCGCTACTTGTGCAGTACGTCGGGCATGGGGCTAGTGCTTGGAGGGCGACGTCCAGTGGTCCTCACAGGTCACGCAGACGCTTCTTGGGCTGACGACCAGGCTACGCAGCGGTCGTCACAGGGTTACACCTTCAGCCTTGGTTCCGGCTCTGTTTCGTGGCGGTCTACCCGCTCGTCTTCTGTTCTCGGCTCCAGCTGTGAGGTTGAGATCTACGCGGGGGCCATGGCTGCACAGGAGCTACGCTGGCTCACCTACCTGCTGACTGACCTAGGAGAGCCGCCTCGTTCTCCTCCAGTTCTGTACGTAGACAACAAGGCCATGCTGGCCTTGTGTCGGGAGCATAGACTGGAGCACAGAACGAAGCACATTGCTCTTCGCTACTTCCTTGCTCGTGAGCTGAATCAGCGTGGTCAGCTGCGCCTTGCTTACGTGGCCTCTGAGGCCAACACTGCTGATATCTTTACCAAGGCACTTCCGCCTTGTGATCATCAGCGCTTCTGTACGATGCTACGTCTTGTGCCTACTTGGCCTCACTTGCTCACTTCTTGACCTTGCTTGTACTGTGATCTTACTATACCTGCACTTGCTTGTTTACCTTTATATATGATCTTGCATGTGAACTGGCCTTGTGGCCTTGAGCTTGTGCTCGGACTGTGTGGTGACGTTGTGATCCACCCTGAGCTTGCTTTGCTTTGCTTGACTGGTCTTGTGACCTCTTGTTCTCCCCCACTTTGCCTATGGGGGTGTGTCAAACTCTTATGCTATAGTCTATGTAGGCTGTAGTGGGGTAGACAATATGGGGTACAACACTTCTAGGTTTTCCTACTTGTACCCACCTGCTTGCTAGTTCATTCATTCCTCATTCTTCACAGCAGCGCGACCTGCAGTGGGAAACGAAGAGAAGGAGAGGAAGCGTGCTGAAATGGAGAAGAACATGGCTGAAATGTCGTGCTTTCAAGTGACGTGAAGAGAAGTCACGCCGGGTCAAAGGCGCGTCCAAGGAAGTCTGAATTTCGAACTCGAGGCGCGTTCGGTGCATGGTTGGATTTGGAAATTGAGCCGAGTACAACTCAGCTCGAAATTAGGCGCGGCGCGAGGGCGAAATCAGAAATCCTTTTGCTTATAACTTGCTTTGTGTTTTCTGTTTTTGTATGCCTTCTTCAATGAAATTACTTCAACTTTCTGCCTTGGCGTTTTCCATCAAATTCCTTCACACAGTTGAAGCCAGAGGTTACTATGCATACTACTAAGACTCTAAATAGTCTTCATAGTCTAGATTAAAGGCTGCGCACGTTCAAGAGCTGGTATCAGAGCTGGTTTAAGGCGTGTTATAGCGTTTTAAGGATAGGCGGAATCTATTAAGTATGACGGGAGATCATACTGAGGCAAGTTCGGGCTCCTCTGTGAGCATTGGAGGCTCAGAACTACAGGCTATCCTAACAGCGCTAGCACAAGCTAAATTGACGGCGAAACCAACGATTGGGCTTAGCGAGGCCCAACGGTTCCATGGAGAAAATTATAGCACGTGGCGACTCAAGTTCATTCGTAGAGCGGAGGAAGTCGATCTCTGGCCGTACTATCATCCCGACAAGGAGACGGGAGAGGGCGTCCCACCATCTGCAAAAGAAAAACCAGAAGAAAATGCGTCATTCAAAAAAAGGAGTAAGCAAGCCTTTTTTCAATTGTGCCATTCGGTTTCTGACAGCATTGCAGTGGGGCTGGATCAATTTGCGGGAGAGGAGAACTCTGCTGAACGAGCCTGGGAGTACATGGAAGCTGCTTACCTTGGGCTTACGGATACGAACAAAGCAGCCATTCGGAAGAAACTCCTTCTATTGAGTATGGAGCCGGGGGAGAGGGTCATTGACTACATGAATCGAGCAAAGGGGTACAATGACGACCTCAAGGCGATGGGGGCAGCTGAAACTGAAGGAGAAATGATGGGGTACATCATTACTGGGCTGCCCAAGGAGTGGGAAGCAGAGATAGGGCTCCTAACCTGCAACCCACCCGCGAATATGACCAAGCTGTTGGAGACGCTCCAAGCCCTGGAGCGGGTGAAAGCTGATCGGCTCAGGAAGGAGATTAGCTTGAGCGGAATGGGACCAGTCACTCATGCTATGGTAAACGCAGCAGTGACAGGGAAAGGATACGGAGGTTTCGGGGTGTGTTTTCAGTGTGGGAAGAAGGGTCATAAGCAGATAGACTGCTATGACAACCCGAGGAGCAGAAATTTCAAGGGAAAGTGGAGCGGTCCGCAGCAAAGGGGCCTGCAAAACGGAGGGCAGCAGAGAGAGGGGGAGGTTCGAGGCGATAACAAGATGCAGAGAGGCGGATTTTCAGGGGCATGTCACTATTGCCAGAAAATTGGGCATAGGGCAGCCAACTGCTACTCGAACCCGAACAGCAGGAACTACCGAGGGGCAAACCAGCAGCAGAATCAACCACCAGCAGCAAAAGCAAATGCAGTGGAAGCTGAAAACAGTGAGGCGGACGTAATTTTGGGGGGAGCTCACAAGGCAAACGTGGCAAGGGCATCGGGAGTGTGTTTGATGGCAAAGGGGTTTGGTGAAGCTGCGTGGTTCATGGATAGTGGCTGCACGCAACATATGACCAATCATCGTGAGTGGCTTACCGGATTGAGGGAGTCTAGTGTACCCTACGTTCTATTGGGCGATGAAGGGAAACTGAGTGTGAAGGGGGAAGGAGAGTTGCTGCTCCAGGGAGAGTACGGGGAGCTGAAACTGGAGAATGTGCTTTTAGTGGAGAAGCTGTCACTGAATCTGATCAGCCAAACTCAACTTGACAGCACGGGGTGCAAAACCTTCAGCGACAAGGGGAAGCTGTGGGTTTTCAATGAGGATTGGAAGGTGGTTGCAGAAGGGAACAGAAATCAGGGGTTGTATGAAATGAAGCTGAGAAAGAAGGGGCTGGAGGATGAGAATGCCACCTACCTGCCATCACTCGAAGGGGACCTAGCTAGGGAGGAGTTGAAGGCTCGGCTTGGTGGCTTACCAGTGAAGGAGCTGCAGCAGGAAGCTTCAGCCATGGTGGTTGGGATGGAGAAGGTGGAATTGGAGACCTTGCACAGGCGCATGGGGCATGCAAGCATGGATAGGGTCAAGGAGTTGGTAAAAAAGGGCATGGTAAAAGGTGTGGCACTGAAGGAGGGGGCTGGAAGCAAGGGAAAATGCAGCAAGTGTGTTGAAGGTAAAATCACAAAGTCCCCTCACCCCCACCACCAGGTACATGAGCCTTATGGCACCTTGGACATCGTAGCAGCCGATGTGTGTGGGCCTATGAGGGTGGCGTCACGTCACGGCAGCCGCTACTTCGTTACCTTCACTGATTTGGGAACAAGGCACACATGGGTGACGGAGCTGAAAGATAAGGCAGAAGTGTTTCCTAGCTTCGTGACTTGGATGGCGGAAGCGGAGCGGCAAAGTGGGAAGGTGTTGAAAGTTTTGAGGACAGATAATGGTGGGGAGTTTACAGGGGACCTGTTCAACAAGTTTTTACAGAGTAAGGGCATCCGACGGCAGCTGACTGTACCCTACACTCCACAGCATAATAGCATAGCGGAGCGGGTGAACCGTTCTCTACTGGATAGTGTGAGGAGCATGTTGGCAGATAGTGGGCTGCCACTGAAGTTC